GCTGGCTTTAATTGAAAAATAAATACGGGGCTGTGCAAGATCAAAACCAAAGGGATAGGTAGAAAAATCATAGACAATAAATTAACTGAACTGATATATTTTAGATAAAATTTTAAGACTAAATTTACACAATGAATTTGTGTCATCAATATTTTATAACATTTTCTAATCAGCTTATTAATTCTAAATAAAATAAATCATATGTATACATAACATTTAAGTAGATGATCGACACCTTGAGATAAGTTTAGGTTGATATGAAAAAACCAACCTAGTCGTTCTATTTATGTTATTAGATATTGAAAACGAATGGATAAGTATTATTTAAGACCTACTTTTAGTTTAGAATGCCCCAAGAAGTATAATTTTTTGTGTGACAAAAAACGAATTCATATACTTCGGGCAGACTTAACAAGAAAAGCCAGATCAGCAGCAACATCATCAGCGACTTGGGAAAAACACAACGGCAACATCAATAACACGGCAGCAACATCATGAGGTCGGCTCATATTTTTTAATGAATATTGAGGATTAAAGGAATTTCTGCAGGATTTTCATTGAATTATGCATTTATTTTCGTTTTTTCGCTCGTTTTTTTGTTGGTCCAATCACAACCTCAGCAATGCCCAAACCATCGGCTCTTCCTGGCTGCGGTTTTTGCTGCTGGGGAGCGACCGACCAGGAACATATATCCCATATATTTCTTTGTCGCACGCGATGATTTATTAAGTCATTAGCACTTGTGCGGCTGTTGCTGCTGTTGTTGCTGTTGCCGATGTTGCTGCCACGCCCACGCGCCCACACGCCCCCACATGCAGGATGCGATGCGGATGCAGGATTCAGGATGCAGGATGCGGATAAGCCCGCACAAACACACACGGACACAGGGAGCACACACAGGCAACCACCCCCTCATCATACAACTTGTAATTCTTATTAATTGTGTGCGCTGCTGCCCGCTCATACATAAATATACACATATAGTATGCCCGCACATACTTATATATTTTTCAGGAGCCCTCCTGCAATGGCGGCCAGGACATTAATGCATTCGATCCAGGACATAGCATTAACTCTTTCAGTTTGCGCATTTTTAAATAGAACATCACTGATTGCAGGTCGGCGTGAATGTTTAATGCGAACGATATCGACGGGATGGCAGTTTGAGATACATGTGTTTAAATATATACACACTTTAGTCTTTAAGAAATAGAAAGTTGATTAAAATTATGCGGCATCAAAATATACCACTGAATTTGTTTTTAGGCAATTTCAATAAGCCACACAATAAATAAAACCACTTTCTCAGCAATTATAACAACTGTTTAGTGGCTTACATTTATTTTAAAACAAAAACAGTCACTAATTCTTTAGCACAATACATATTCACTTCACATTCCTTCGTATTTATTGACAAAACCAAAACGCGAATTCTTCAGCATTCCGTTAATCTAACATAAAACTCATATTCTCTGGTTTTCAAACGAGTTTTCAGGTGACTTACGTTAACCCATGGAATTTTGATTCAGTTCAAATGTAAGCTTATCTTAACGCCATGTCCATGCATTACTATCCATCGAAACACTTTCGCGTGGCAACACGGCGTATACGCAACACCTCGCAGCACTTCATAAAATGCCAACGGAAGTGAATCAAATAAGAAAAGACGAGTTCTTATTGAAGTGGTCCTTTATTTGATGCGATGCGATGCAACTGGAGACCGCAGATCGAACGACTTTAAGCCAATTTGCGTGAGATGCCGAAGAATTGGCCAGAATGGCGGCAGGGCAGCCTGGCAGCCGGGCTATATGTTCTTCGATGGATTCTTCGCTCTCGAAGGACGAAGGATGGGCCGTCGGGGGATGTCAGAAATGCGTGTGAAAAATAAACGAGATTTTCGCGACGCGCTTTTGATATTTTTGCCTGACAGAAGCCAAATGAGAAAATGCGATTTTCCGCATTGCCCCGGCCAATGACATGGACATGGACGTGGCCGTGGACATGGCGGTGTGGAGGGGTGAGGAAGGGGGAGAGGGGGACAGGATGCTGTCCAACAACACGGCCTACCAACTTAATGTGCTGCCGCTTCCTGGCACACAAGCACACACACACACAGACTGGTTGGGAAAACGGGAAAGCTGGCTGGGGAAAATGCAGCGAGACAGACAGTCGGAAAATCGGACAGACGCACACAATAATTTTTACAATTTGCAGCAATGCGTTTTTAATTTAAATCGATAAAAGTTGCACTTGCACAAAAAAAAATGAAACTCGGCGTCCAGACGAAGGACAACAACAGCACAATGCACATTATAATTGCGAGCAACCCTCATAAATACATATATCTCGCCGATCCTACAAGTTCCACACCCTCGCGCTGATTTCACCGTTTTCAAATTGGTCTGCACGTTTTAATTAAGACACAAAACATGGGCTAGTAAAGGAAAATAAAAACGGGCCTCAAAAGAGATAAAAATAAAAATAAAAAATTTAATTTATTTCAATGGTAGCAAAGAAGGAAGTTCTTTTGTACATATGTCTATATTAATAAATATTTGTATAAACCATTGGAGTAACTTTTTTAACGCTTGCACTTTTTCACAATTTTATAACCCACAATTATATACTTTTTCCATTTCTATTAAGTTCTTTATTGTTTTTTCAAATTCCTTGAATTCCCTCAAGCTCGCTTATTAAATATTTTGCCAATAGGAATGTTCTTTTTAGTCTCGCATTTTGTCAAGCTGTCAATAATTCCAGCAAATTAAAATAAATCATTAACTTTAGCAAACAACGACTTTCCAATTGGCCAATCAGCGGCTGGAAAAAACTAAACATTTTGCAATAAATATAAATTAAATTAAACATTATAAAATGAAACGTTCAACTGTCGCATTGCATTAGCAGCGCCAAAAAAATTAAACAAAATGCAAACAGGGAAATATGAAAGGGGAAAGAATCCATTGCCTACATTTAAGCGCCGGCTGTAGGAATTATTGTTGCCATTGTTTGTTTTGTTTGTGATTTGACTGCCAGGCCGCATACATATATACTTAAACGCACACACATATAGCATACACATATCTGTCCTATCTGTCTGCGTGTGTTTATTTCATTTTATTATTTTTTCTCTTCTGCGGTCAACGAGTTGGTTGACCACTTTCAAATACCGCCCACCCCCATCCCTTGCCCTTCGACGCCCCCTCAACCTTTCGCCCACCCGCTGACCCTTGGGCTGACTGCCTGCCACGCCCACCCGCCCCACAGTTCAGGCAGTTTGATCTGTATCTGAACCTCTGTTGATTTGTTGACTACTATGTTTGCTTGTTTATTCCACGATCTTTTTAGAGGTATAGTATATATAACCCTTATATTTATTTTATATGTTTATCTATATTTTGATTACATTCTTTTACACCTCATTTACTTATATTTTTTTTAAGATAAATTGGCATAATAATTAAATAGCATTTTTGATCAAATTTAGTAGTGAATATTATAAAATCTACCTCATCAAAATGTACTTTTTAAGTAAATGTAATTTTCGGGGTAATAATATATTATGGATGGTCTATTCTCCAAGAGTTATAAGCATTGAAATTCAAGTAGCCAAAATCTAAATGCTTGAAACCAAATATATGGTATTTTCTATTTAAATAAAAGCTAAGAATAGAGTTGCTCATAAGAAAGTAATATAGATATTTATAATGCTTTCTTATTATTTGTTTTCCACTATTCATTGATGTAATAGACAGCCTTTGTAGAAAGTAATGTACTTAGTTCGATCACTTTCCATTTATGATAAACCCTTTCCCATAATGTATATCTTGTCAAAACATATTTCCCAGTAAAACCCATTGCCTTCTCCACCAATTTAATGGTATTTTTCGAGTTCCTCAACTTCCCGCCCTTCGATTCCAATTTTTGTTTACATTTGTGCCCGGCGTGTGGGTAGTTTTTCATCCGATTCCAACTGTTAAGTTGATTTAAAGCGTTTAACACTCGCTGAAGCACGGCTCGTGCTTTTTTGCCCCGATTTTCCTTTTTGTATTTATTTTTTTGCTAGTTGTTGGCCCGTTTGGTTAACCGTTGAATTATCAATTTCGCGGTAGAACTTGTGGTGCATAAGTGCGGTTCGCCAATGAGTTTCCCAAGGTATCATATTATTATACGCGTTCGCGTATGGGCACACAATTATTGCTGTCTTTGTTCGCACTTGCACAATGACATTTGTCCCGCTCGAAATTAATACGTTAAATTTTAATTAATTACATTAAGTAAAAATTGCTCACTGCCCGTCGCATTTTCGACGCGTCAAGTGGGTCATTAAATGCTTTTAGCACGAATTTCCTTTTTGGTTGGGATTTAAGAGGAATCGACAATTGCTGCCTTTCGCTTTTCGGAAAGTATACAAGATCAATCATAATTAAATCACAAACCCCGTAAGGGATAAATAAAAATAATTGCTGTCATGAATGCGATTTCAAAGCTTCATTATTTTTTTCTGGCATTTTATAAACAGAAAATGCCACAACTAATGTTGGGTAATTTTTGTACATTTATGATGCCTTTGAAGATGTACTTTTCAAATTGTTCCAATGTGACAAACAGATGTTACACATTTAAATTTGAAAATTATTCCTTTTGTGGAGTGATTTGATTGATTTGTTTCGGAGTTTCTGGAGAATTCCCTTGGATGAATAGAAAATCATATAATATGTTAGAAATACAAACAATGTGAATTGTGTATCAAAATAAACGGAATTTCCTCACTACCAATACCATTTTTCCAAAATGATCCCAATAAACCCAGTTTCAAAAATTAAAGGAAAGGAATAGAGGCATAAAATGATCAGATTACTTGAGTAAAATTGTGTTTTTTACTTATCACTTACACGTCAGATATAAATTCCTCGATGGATAATAATAATTACATTTTCTTTATTATTTTGCACCTTCCCAATTGTAATATTATACCATTTTAGCCAAAAAGAACTCACCTTTTTGCCTGTTGGATGCACCAAGTGCACTTGTTTGACGGATGGTGTCCCAAAGGTAATTATCTAGTGCACTTTTTGTATAAGAAAACTTCGCTCTCTCTTAGATCTCTTCACTGTTTTGCAAACTTTCGATCTTTTATTGCCCGACTGAGGCACACTCGAAAAAACAAATAACTTGAACAAATGCTGGCGCCAACATTGTACCAACGATCTCTGTGTTAAAGGATCTGTGTTTGGGGATTCCCACTTTTGTTTAAGACAGTTAAGCAGATCTGAAAAGATCTATATTTTGGTACTAGCGATTTATGATGATAGCCTTGGACCGAAACACGAGTTTTCGCCACGATTTTGGCCACGTAACCGAATCGAATTGGATGGTATTGGATCACTGCGGAACGCAACGGAAGCACAGCCGGCGCGTCAGTGGTCAGAATGCAGAGTGACACATTCGGGGGCACCTGACCAGCTCCAGAGTTCCAAAGCTGCCTGCTCGGCGTGGTGTTGCTGCCGTGCTGCGATATTGCTGCCGGGATGCAATTCGTGTCCGCTGGCCCGAACGGGTACGAACGAATGCCTTTCTGGAGCCCGAGAGCCCTTTGAGCGCACCCGATTTGCAGTTTGCACTTGCCGAGGGCTCCTCGCGAATCGTATATCGAGTCGTATATACTCGTCGGATACGAGTGTAGTGTTGTTACGGTATGTTGCTCGTACGGATGTTGCTGCTGCGATTGCTGCTGCTGCTGTTGCTGCTGCTGCTGCTGCTGAACCGGTTAACGGCACAATTGCAAATGATAACAACGCACACGAATTTTCGAAATTTTCACACAAAAAACTTTTCAAATTTCCCAACGAGTGGGCCAAACATACGAGGCCGAGGCCAAACGAAACGAAACGCCGACGCTCTCCACAAAAAACACACAACACACATGTGTGTGGCCTTAAATAACTCAAACGGAAATTGAGTTTCGGCTCAAAAAGCGGCGACGGCGCCGCATCAGCAGCAGCAGCGGCAGCAGCAGCAGCAACAATTAAAAGCGAAGAAGAGCTCAGAGCCTGTGGAGATGCGGGGGAAATCACCGTTGAACGTGGCACGTCCGCCCCACGGTGGGCGCCACAACTTTAGTTCACTGCGACCCACCCCCACGGGGCCCGCAGTCCACTGACTGACCATTCGGTCTCTCGACTTTTCACTCGTTTGGAAATCAGGTTTTATTTCTACACAAAATACATAAATTTAGCATCATTATCAGAACGGGTTTTCAACCCTTTTCCTTTTGGGGGTCTCTTTTCCTCCCGCGTACGCACACACAGACATACGTACACATGAGCGAAATGCTCATTATCATAAACAACAACAAGTTGGTGGGGGTGGTGCTTTTTTGAGCAGGAAAATGCAACATTTTACATAATATACACTAGATTTATACATATGCCCCCGTACATATAATATATGGTTAGAGTTCGCTCACAATTATATGTACGGGGCTCGGAGTCGTTATAGAGAGAGTGAGCGGGATGGCGAGAGAGCGTGCGAGGGAGATGGCAAAGACAGTCAGTTGAGTAGTTCTCACTCGCCCATACATATATACATATATAATGAATTTTAAACTATTTTCCTCGGCGGGGGAAACTATCGTTAGTTTGTTGCTGACTTCGAATCGGATTCTCTCTGTCGTGGCCATAGTCTTCTTCTTCTTCTTCTGCTTCCTCTTCCTCGTCGTCTTCTTCTTCTTCTTTTTCTCCGTTTGGCAAACACAAGTTTTCAGAAAAGGGGGCACGCATTAGTGTCTAACTGTAAATTAGTGTGGGCTTCCCAGCGGGACTGTACTTGGTTTAAACTTCCACTTCGAATTGATTGTTTTTTATACACTTTTTTACACACATTACAAGTAAGACAACGCACAGTGGACCATAACAGCAAGCTTACTTCATTTCTAATATTTCAAGAAAAACTACAGTTTTAATTATAAAGTTCTAAACTCAAAACATTAGTTTTTGGTATGGGTAGAAAAAACTTGAGAGTGAGAGATACAAAATAATAATATTAAATATTCCAGTGCTATTGTGATATACTATAGATATTTTATGAGCCGGGTGTTTTAGCATAAGATTTCGTAGTCTTTTACTATTGTAGATTGCGCCTTTTATTTATGGGCTCTCTATTTATCTACCAATACTTACTGCGTACTTCTTAAATTTCAAATCTTTATGCTTTACAAACTAGGTAATATTTAAGAGACATTCTGCCTAAAACAGGATTATCTTTTACCACCTTTTCGGGGCACTTGGCCCACTGTGCAGCATGTGTGTGCTCGCATGTGCAGTTTTTGTGTCGCTTGCTCCTCGCCAGGACATCATCGGCATTATCCTTACAACGGCCATCTGAGCGACCTTTTGCAACTTGTCTGCACGGGGCGTGGCAAGTGGGCGGTGGGTGGTGGGTGGTGGGTGGCTGGGGCTGCTGGGGGCGGGGCATTTGACGGACATTTCTAATTTGCAAATGTGTGTGCGTGTGTGTAATGGCAGGCAAACAAAACAAACTCGATGGCGATGGCAACTGTGTTAATGATTAGAAAAACCTTTGGCCCAGGCTAACCCCTTTTTGCAGCGAAGCCCCCTGCCCCTGTCCCCCTGATTTCACCCGGTTTCCCCCCTTTTCAACGCCCAACCACCCACAACGTATCTACTTCCTGGCAATTAATGTGTGCAACATACGCGTTTTAATTTAACGCAACGCAACGCAAACGCGACTTCCCCCACCCAGTTTTCCATCCCCCCACCACGGTTTTCCTCCTTCAGTTGGAAAACTTTTGTTGCTTTTTTGCCGTAATTTTAAATGGTTTTCCACGCACACACACACACACACACATGTGAGGCGGAGGAAAAGGAGTGAGTGGGGTGGGGCGAGGCGAAAGGACGTCCCGTTTTGAAAACTAAACCAACCAGTTTGGCAAGTTCCAAAAGGATTCACTTTGGGCCAGAAGTTGGCGAGGAAAACCCGGCTGAGAGTCCTTGTGCGTGCGCGAATATGCGTGGCAAGGATTGCACTGGGATGAGAATGGAATGGAATGGCGATGGTGATGAGTTGTCCTCCAGCACATGCACTGCAACAAAAACTGGTTGGCAAGGGCAGCTAAATAATGCAGTTTATCTATAAAATGAAAAACACGAGCAATTCATGTTTTTAAATTGAAATACAATGCTTCTTTTTGGTTTCTTTAAGGAAGACTATTTAGACTTCCTCTTTTTATTTCAGTTGTAGTGCTGGAATTATATTTAAATACATAGTTATCTACTGAAATCTACATGAAATCCATGGAATATAATAAGGAATTGTTGATAACATTTATTGAATTTTATAATAAACTAAAGAAATATTCCTGAAACTTACATATTTCTTGAAAACCGCCATTGGCCATCATCATATTTTAATAAATTGAAGCTGCAGAAAGCAAAATCTATGGAACATAATAAAGGATTATTGATAATTATTGGAATTATATATTTATGGAAAACCGCCATAGGTCATCATTTTTTCCTGTGTCTTCGCACACACATCGCGCGGCGTTCAATAGCGGACTCAACCTGCGATGGTTAATGATGGACCCGGAACCGAGTCCGGGTTACGGCCTGGGGTTGGGGTTGGGGGTCGGGGGTCACGGGGTAGGCCTGGTCCGGGTCCGGATTCCCGTCCTGGGGCCGCTTATGCAAATGGCAATGCAGCGCGCGGATTTGCATGAACATTTTGCTAAACAAAAGTAAACCAATGCACACGCAATCCGAGCGGAGAGGCGGCCAAACGAGCGGCCATTTTGCATGGAATAAGCCGGAGGATCGGAGGACTCCGCACTCTGGACTCCGGACTCGGGACTCCGGTTTCCCGGACTCGAGGCAGGTGCGATTTTCCGGGCTTGGGCGGAGCGGGCTCCTCCGCCCCCGTTGCCATGTGCGTAATAGTGCGGCGGCAGTGAAATCCCGATTAGGCAACAACCCATCAACATATTTTTTCTCCATGGAGGACCATTCATAAAGATACGGATTAAGGGGCCAAGTACTGGGAGATATTCGAGAGCTGCCCAGAAAATCATTTATTAACCCTTAAGTTAGGTAATTGCATAGAAAGGTTCCAAATCCTTCCCTTGGTGTATAATTTAAAAATATATCTTGCAGTCTAAAACATTATAGAATTCTGCATAATATTGAGTACAACAAATTTATGTTAAAAATTAGATACGCCTAAATACAATTTTATTCAAATAATGTAAATTGCCTGGTCTTATGTTCAACAAAAAATAAACACATAGCTTAGTACTTACTGTTTAAAACACGCATGCAATAATACATTTAAGGCATAAAGTTATAAATCTAAAATGATTGTATTTTCTTTACGTTTTAGTTTTACAAGTATTTATAACGCATTCCCTTAAGCTAGAATCATAAAATGAAAACAAGCTTATAATCTCATCAATTGCAGATTTTGTGAAAGGAAGAGCCCCGAATGGGAAGCAAATATCCACTGATGCTGCTCTTCATCTGCTTACCGCAGGACTCTAATCCTAGACACATTTGCATCTCTTAACACCCCTTTGGCCCTCGCCGCTCCTTTGACCCCCACCCCCATCCAGTTTTATTTTCCTGGTGGACCTCCCACGCGCGCTTCACTTTTGCGGCTTGTTTACATTTTGTGTGCCACGTGCCACGACAGAGGGCAATAAAAACAAAAAGAAAAGAATCACAGCCTGCCTCAGTGCCTCGCCGCTTAACCCCCAGTCCCTTAACCCACTGAAAACACTCGCACACAGGGGAAAAGAGCCTTGCCCAATTGCAATTTCAGTGGGCAGAACGAAAGGGAAAAAATATCGCACTCAATTTGCAGTTGCAGCAGGGTTGTCACCATTGTCGAGGAACTTCGTAGCACTTTTATTAGATTGAAAAGTTGAGTTAAGAACCCTTTCATGTTGGATACTTTGTTACTAATTTTATTTTTACGTAATTATAAGTTGAATATTTATAGATATTTTTCCTGTTCTGTAAGTCATTTTAAATTAAAGGGAGTACTGAACCAAAAGAATATATTTTTTAAAAACCAAGTTTAGTTTACAGTACCCAAGCTATTTTGGAAATAATATGAACTTTTTCTAATAATAGTCTTAATTTAAAATACCATTTAAATATGTCTTAAATTAACAATACTATATAAATGAAAACTATTTATTATAAAAGTATTTTTATAAATATAATTCTATACTATATCACACTATATCCTATATAATACCCAGCTAAAGTTGTAAAAAACCTGGCAACTCTGAGGCAGATGTTTTCGCCGACTCAAAAGCGAAATGTGCTCTGCGTTTGGTTCACTCACTCGCAGTTTTCACTCGAAAGGGGGACCCAGTTTTCCCCACCCATCTCCGCCCCCCTTCCCCAACCCCCTTCCGAGTGGCCCCCCTCCCAGCATTTTCCCTGAGCACTCCTCCATGAATTGCATTGGCAGCAGCAGGCGGAGCCGTCGCTTTTCTAGTTTATTTCTGCGCCCGGATTTTCCACTTGTTTTCTGTTGTTGTTTCCTTTTTGCGATTTTTCCTCGTTTTTCCCCGGCGTGCTTTTGTTTTTGTTGTTGCGACGAGAAAAATGCGCAGCCATCGGATCCGCTGATTGGAAGAGGACTCGACTCGACT